GCCAAAAAACGGTAAAACGAATCTGTCTTTTTAAATTTTCTACTCTTACTCTATCAGCTTAATTATTAGGTTCTAACTAGAAATTTAATAAAAACAGGTTTAATTAGCAATATTTTTCGATCTATTATTCGATAGTACACGAGTTTGTAAACTGGCAAACTTTGTATTCCTTTTAATAGATATACTTATGTGTTAATAATGGTTAATTTATATTTACACTATGTATACCACTAGATTTAATATTGTTTGAATTCGTAGATATCTCTTATATCCTAGGGATTATTCATTTATCATTATTGGTTAACTTACTTTTTGCAGGGTGAACGTAAAATTCGCCCTTCAAATACTAATCTTTCATTGTATGCCACATGTTTGGGTCCCTATCCTAACTCAACTTTCCAGCTGTCGGGTTCATTGACCTCAAAGGGTACCACCGTTTTGTAAAACTCTTATGATAATTATTGTAATAATATCATCGATTTGGTTGGCCTATTTGAGAAGTCATTTTGCATTCTTCTTATTTGTAGATTTCCGAAATATGTAAGAAAATTAAAAGTATTTTATTCGTCTATAATTATGTTTAAATATGTATTGTGTTATTATTATTTCGGAGTCTTGTGGTCTTTTATGTATATTAATTAATCTTTGATATCTTGAAGATGGCGAGATCCTGCGATTAGCAGTTTTGTATGTTTTTTGTTTTGCAAAAATCACAATATTTGAATAATTAGAAAAAAATAATGAGCTTATAAGATAAACATTTATATTCGCCATATTTTTTGTGGGAAATTGGAACAAAAGAATATTGTCTAAGTTACGCGGACGAAGTAGAAACAGAAGTAAGTTTCTTAAAGAATTTATTCTCTTATATATAATTTCTTAAGTTATATTTAATTTTTTAAGTTATTTACTTTTAACCTTTCGTGTGTCTAAGACGAGGATCCACGCGAGACACAATGTATGTTTTATTGTGTCTCATATCGGTGCATTCAAAAGGTTAACTTTGATATATGTAATTCTATCAAACAACAAATGAAAGAAACAAGCAGTCCTGCAGTGCTAGCCAAATGCCATTTAGCGCTTGTCTACATGTAGAATAGAAAACCAAAGTGGTTTTTGGCTAGAGGCCCTGTCGTCTAATAGATCAAACAAAAAATCTTTTAGTAAAGCAATCCCGTTAATCTCGCGAGATTTCGTCCATTTTCAACCGAGATTAATTAACTTAAAAGAGATTTTGGGCTCGATGCCCATGCCCATGCGATTGCATTCCTAGTGCAGTGTTGTGCGGCCACGCCAGCACCTGTTTCTTTATGTGAGCACTCTACACCCCTACAACTCTAGATCTCTACGTTCGTTCTACTCGTAGAGTTATTCATTTCATTATAAAAAAAACGTTGACATAACTAGACAGTCGATTTAAGTAGTTATATTGTGTAATGGTTCTCAAATATCTCCTTATTTTAAGAACATAATTGGCAATTTAAATTTATCACCTTACCCAACGAAAACGCGGCAATTCTGTTGGTTGATCATCCATTTATAAAGAAAGTTATGATCCGTTATAAATTTTGCCTTAACAAACACAATTACCCAAACAATCGACGTTATTAAAATAGAATTATCGTTTCAGTAAGCATTAGTTTCATAACAGTGAAGATATGTAGATTACTTTGGATAAATTAATTAGCGTGATGCGTACTCACCTACTTATCTCATTTACATTACATAGGTTCGTTATCTGTATTGTGGTAGTGTGTCGGTAGAAATAGCTGGTCTGCGATACAATGTTTTTGTTTTATCTTAATATAACACTAACAAAGTTATTAAATTATTCGCTTATCTTTTCTTGGCTATCGCGGATTGGTGACATTGAACGTATGCCTCATCGACAAAGTTATTATGTTTCATTCATTTAACTTATTGTTGATTCGCACTATTCTACGAAATAATTTTTATACTTTCTATAAAATATTTAGTAGTGAATGCTTTTGTGTACATTAGCTTAATCTAACTACATACACGGTGGTATAGTATATAAAAACGTGTGTGCCAATTCATATCATTTAAAAAATTTCGGTTCATAAGCCAGTAAAATCAGTTTCGTTCAATCTGTCTACAGAAAATATAATATTTTTAAAAACGTAGATTCACACATATCGTGCAAGTTAAATTCGTGCGAATCAACAATTAGCTAATCATTTGATTGTTGCGTGAA